AACCTTGATTGACCTGGCCATCTCAGTGGACCTGAAGGTTAGGATTAGCTCTACATAACCCCAAGGCTTTGTCACCGACCCATTGAAACCCTGCATATCGGAGCCCACGTAGGGAGTCAGATGTGATTCGTCCAACTGGAGGGTGGAGAACAAATGGGAATACATAATATCGACTGAGCTGCCTTGGTCGACGAGGATTTTCTGGACGTCAAAATTTTCCATCAGGGCTCTCATGAGCAAAGGGATGTTAGCATTGGGGGCTCCACCTAGGAGCTCCTCGCGGTAAAAGCAGATGGGAACAGACGCTCCCCGGACCTTGTTGAGGGTGGAGTTCTGGTTCGAGCTGTTGCTGATAAGGTGCTTAAATTTTCTTTTTGACGAACCCTACTGTGACTTTATTGAAGCCCCCCCCCCCCCCCCTCGGAGATGGCCATGGTGAAGGAGAAAGTCTCTCATGGGTTGTGCGCAGAAAAATATATAGGGGCGCTAAGCCCTTCGAGGATGTAAAAATCTTCAGGCCGCGAGATGCACATAGCTACCTAAAGGTTGGTTTCTTCGGAGGGAGGCACCTCTTCCTAAACTTCTTGGACTCTTGGGCATTCTGCCAAGGAGCATCCTTTTGTTTGGCGAACTGCTTCAAATGTCTATCTCTGATGAGTGTCTATATGGCTTCTTCAAGTGGATGCATTCGTCGGTCACATGGTCGTGGCTCTTGTGGAACCAGAAATATTTCAACTTGTTAGTGTTTGGTTTGGATGGTATCTGCTTTGGGAACCGGACTTCCGCCTTCCAGAATTCTGAGTTGGCATATTTAGAAAGGATCTTTTCTCGGGATACTATCAGAGGAGTATACTCGTGGAACCGGCCGGAGGGCCCTTTGTTGTCTTGGGGCTCTCGGGGATGGTCTCCGCGCCTTCTATCTCCTCGACAAGGTATCGAGGCCTCGTCAGACCTGGAGGATCGGGCATTCTCATGATGCCTCGAATCTCGGGCAGAATTGGCGGCCTCCTTCTCTTCGTACTGGATGTACGCTTGTGCTTTAAGGAGGAATGCGTCCAGCATTGTCGAGGGCTAAATGCCTACAGCTTTAGCAAACTTCGTGCGAGGACAAAGCCAACACTCGAGCAGAAACTTCTTTATGTCATATGTTGTGGATACCTGGACAGCCCTCTTATTGAACCTCTCGATGTAGGCTCGTAGGGGTTCGTCCCTCCCTTGAATGATGGCCTCAATGGAAGCTTCGGCCTTCGGGTGTCGGCGAGAGGCTGGGAAGTTTCTGGAGAACATTCTCCCCAACTGCCTCCATGAAGTGATGGAATTATTGGGGAGCCTTTTGTACCAGGTCATTGATCATTTCCTGAGCATGTTCGGGAATAACCTACATTTGATGGCGCCCCAGACGTCGTGGTAATCTAGTAGAACATCGATATTTTCGATGTGCTCGTCAAGGTCCGTTGTACCTTTGTATGTGCCCAGAAAAGGGGGTTTCTCCAGTCCCTTCGGCAGGCGTATGACCATAATCTCTTAGGACAATTGGCTGCGAGGCTCGTATTCACTGCTGCTGCAGGTCTAAGACAGGGAGCAGGTGTCCCGTTAGTATGTAGGATGGCAGTCTCGACAGGGAGACAGGGTTCGTGCTCGGACCTTGGATATGGGCAGAGGCGAACGTTGGGACTCGGCTTGGTGGTCTCTTCTGGTCCTCTTGGGTCGCAGGGAATGCTGGTTTGGAGGAGAGATATCGTCGCTCTGGGGAAGGGGACTCTGTGGTCTCTAACGTTCCTTCTTCAGCAAAGAGGATCTTGGATGACTGGACTCTTCTAAGGCTCCAATCCTCGCGCTCTGATTAAGGATTAGGAGGTTGGTCTTGTTGAGAACCTCGAGGAGGGCAGCCATGTTCAGATTGCCACTGGACAGAATTGGAACTGGCAGGTGTTGTGGGACAAGCGGGACTTTGCTGTGATCTGTGTGGACAGGGGATAGAGAATCTGTGGCTCCGTCCCTTTGCCGGAGGACGTCGCTGCCATGAGAGGTGGTTGCTCCATCAGCATCAGTCTTGCTGACGGGGAGGAAAACAGAGTTGTGAGCATCAAAAGTGTTGTCACGGCTGGCCATGATCGAGATTTTAAAGAACTGTTTTGGTCTCGTGTCTACGAAAGAAGAAAGACAGGGATAACAAGATTCCCACAGATGGTGCCACCAATCTTGATGGCCGACCAGAACCTGAAGTGGGCCAAAGGCAAATGCCTGTGATATTGGGTGTGGGAGAGGAAGAGGGGGTGTACCTGCAAGCACTCTGATGCTAAAGTAAGAGTCAGGCAAGAGAGAGAGCAAGTATAAAATATGAGTATATCATGGTCAATATTGGATACTTGACCCTCTCAAATGAGAGGGTTTTTATAGTGCCCCCAGCGCTTGCCCATTGGTCCCTATTTTTGGGGCGAGATAATTGTTTCTCGAACAATAGGTAACTGCCAGAACTAGCCGTTGGAACGGGCAGAGGTGCCCATAACTAGTTGTTGCTATGAGCAAGGGTGTAATTACAGGCACATGCGTCTTAGATGTTTCTGGATGGTGGAACCATGCGTGACGAGTAAGGACTGACGAGGAGAAATGTTGTGACCAATAGTAAACCGGTCAGCCTCCCCTGTTGAAGAGACAGAAAGGTCAATGCTCCCCCTAAATTGGTTGGACTTAGGCAATTGGACCGTTCTGGGAGCAGAAGTGATTGGGCCACACCTAGCCGTTGGGCCAGTCCGAAACAATAACTTTTATTAATATTCTAAAATTACCAATAAATAATAAGTTTGACATAATATATAATATATTACATCAAATATTAATATTACAAGATGAAAATAATAAAAATAAATAGATTAAATCAAACTAATAAATATTATTTAAAAAGATAAGTACCATTTAATATTAAATTAATACAACATATATACTAATAAAAAATAAATAAGTATAAAAAATATACATACGTAGTTCAGTTTGGTTTGGATCGATTTTAAAAAATCAATCTGAAATTTGATCTGAACCGAGCGATTTTTACAAAATGACATCCAAATACATACAAAAAAATTGGTTTTTTGCGAGTTTCGGTTTTTTTGGATTGGTTTGCAGTTTTTATTTGGATTGTTTTGGATTTGAACACCCCTAATGTTCATTTGATAATGCTATTGTTGATTTCCTTTTGTTAGACCAAGAAAACAGATTGCCATCTAGAAACTGACAGCTTCCACTGGTACTCGTCCTTTCTAGTCTATCTTCAGCATAATCAGCATCACAATAACCTACTAACTTGTAATCTTTGGATTTTCTATAAAACAAACCAAGGTTATTAGTAGCTTCAGATATCTAAAGATCCTTTTAACAGCAGTCAAGTGGGATTCTCTATGATCTGATTGAAATCTAGCACAAAGACATATGCTGAATAAAATATCAGATCTAGAAGCAGTCATGTATAAGAGAGATCCAAATATACCTTTATATACCTTTTGATATACCTGTGTGCTTTCATCTTTCTCCAAAGTGCATGTGGAATGCATTGGAGTCTTGGATAGTTTACATTTTGACAAATAAAACTTCTTCAGAAGTTCCCTTCTCCTCTTTTTCGCTCTCTAGAAATGCAAATTCGACAGAATAGGTCTTCTCAGTAGATGTAACCCCAACCATCTTCAATAGTGGAAGTCTGTACTTGTTGGTCTTATACGTTGAATCAATGATGAGCATAATAGGAAACATTTTAAACAACTTAATGGAATGAGTATGAGTCCAAAATATATCTCTAACAGTTACTCCATCCTCGCATGTTCGGTACCTGGAAACTTAACAATTATCATCCAAAAGTTTCAATAGTTGTTGCATTTCACTTTTATCCTCCTTTAGCACTTTGTTATATTGGTACCGAATATTGTACACTTGCTTGATATTTTATATATTTTCGAGTCTTTTACGTTTCAAAGTTGCAAGTATGTTTTTAAGTTAAACCAAATTCAATGTCATGTTTGAAATGCATTCCTTCTCTTCCTGCATGAGGCGACACGTAACTGGATGAACTGATAACTTTTCATACAAATCATGGTTATGTAAATCAAATATGAACTTAAATCTTCATTTCTTATTTGCCAACATATAACCACGCAACTTAAAGTGACACTCATATTTTCTTAAACCAGTGTCATCTTGCTTAAAATTACGAATAGGAGGTATAAATTTTAGAGTTCTTTCGCATGTTGTTGTAATAAATGCACCTCCTTTATACGAACCATTATTGGACATTCTGATTACCACACCAAATCTCAATTTATAGGTCTTCGTACGAATTCATTGAAGCATGTGATACAAAATTCAAACTCTTGCTCATTTTTAAATTGGTTGCCAAAATCTACCTCCTTCACAACAACACATTTGACATCTGGAGATACAACATGTTTGGGGAAAACGTCGGGGTGCACCATATCTAATAAAAACAGTTACAATAAAAAAATGCAAAATACCTTTTTTCGTCCCTTAACTTTAGCTCGGGGTCCATTTTGGTCCCTTAATTTTTAAAATGTTCAAATTGATCCCTTAATTATTTAAAATGGGTCATGTTCGTCCTTCCGTCAGTCTTCATTAGTGAGGGTTGAGTAAGAGCGCCCATGTGGCTTTGACATGGATGACTATCCTTTATGTGACCTTGACCTTGCATTAACATATATATGTGATGTTATTTTAAAACATGACATTTTAACAAAGCCAAGTGAAGAAAGCAACGAAAGCTTGTGCATAGAAAGGTTGAAGGCGAAAATCATCAATCTAGAAAGCATTTGAGTTCGAGCGAAAGGTTGAAGAAGGCGTTGAAAACAAGTTAGTTTGTTGCTCATTTGTATGAGTTTTATATTTGTTATGTTTCCAATATGAGAATTTAAGGTTTCTTAAAAATTAGGGCTTTGCATGTTTTCTAAATTTTCCAATTAGGGTTTTTAATAATATGGATTCTGATTTGAATAGGTGTAATGGAGGATTTTATAGTACTAAGAACTCATCATAGTGGTGAGTTCGTTGATGGTGATCTTAGAGTGTATGAAGGAGGTAAAATTGATGAGCTGAAAGTGGATCTGGACAGATGGAGTTACTTTGAGTTGATAGGTACACTGAAGGACTTAGGTTATAAGGATTTTGAGAAAATATATTACAATGTACCAAAATTTGGGATGAACTCATTGAATGATGACGCAGGAGCATTAGAAATAGTTGATTTTCATAGGGTTCACCTAGGTGTAGACATTTACATTCAACATAAACTTGATCAACCTGGTTACTATGATGGGCCTATAGAAGCAGAATTAGGAAATGGTGAAAATGTGAATGAGGGGCCTGATGTGGTTGAGGATATGCTTTCTAAATTATATGAAGAAGCAGTCAATGAAAATGATACTTACAAAGAAGCTAAAAATGTTGGTTTGGATGGGCCTATAGAAACAGAATTGGATGCTCAAAATGTTGGTTTGGAACATCCTACATCAACAGAATTGGATGCTTAGAATGTTGGTTTGGATAGGCCTATAGAAGCAGAGTTAGATGCTCAGAATGTTGCTACGGATGCATATAGTGTTGGTATGGAAGATGGTGAGATGGATGATGGTATAAGTAGTGATGATAGTGAGGATTCTTTGTACAAGTATGATACTTATTTAGAGGTAGCTTTTAATGATTCTTCTAATGGTTTTGATGATATAGCTGAAGTTGAGTTGGCAAATCTACTTGAACATGAACAGCTTGTTAAGGGATAGTCCAAAAAAAAGAGAAATGGGAAGAAGACAAGGGTGAATTTAAAGTGAGTGATAATGAAAGTGATGAGCTAGTGAATGACTGTGATAGTGATGATAATTGTGGTGTTAAAAAAAGGCACACCCAATGTTTAATATGCAAAAGGGCATGGCTGATTTCAAATGGGAGGTAGGTGTGTACTTTAGTTCAAAATATGATTTCAAGGAGGCAATAACATTATATGTTGTCCATAGTGGTAGAAATCTTAAGTTCAATAAAAATAATAAGGTAAGGGTGAGGGTAAAATGTAAGGATGGGTGTTATTGGGAAGCTTATTGTGCCAAATTGTCAAATGAAGAAACTTGGGAATTAAGGATGGTGAATGATGTATATAGTTGTAGTAGGAATTATAATATGAAGATGATGACTACCAAGTGGCTGAGCAAGAGGATCCAAAACTCATTAAAAACTAAGCCTAGGATGAAAATAAAGGATATAAAGGCAAAGGCCCAAAAAAAGTGGAATGTAGGTGTGAACAAAACTAAGGCAGTAAGAGCAAGGTTTAAAGCTATAGATTATGTTGATGGATCATTCTTAGGGGAATACACCAGAATATATGATTATTGTCATGAGTTTTTGAGAGAAAACCCAGGATCCACAGTGAAGCTTGGTGTTGAACCTGATCAAGAAGGTTTATATGATCAAAGACCACATTTCAAGAGGTTATACATATGCTTTGCTGCATGTAAGGAAAACTTCAAGATTTATAGGAATTTCATAGGAGTTGATGGTTGTTTTCTTAAGGGGCTATGTGGTGGGAAAATTCTGGCTCCTATATGTAGGGATCCAAATGATCAAATGTTACTTATAGCATTTGCAGTGGTGGAAGGGGAAATAGGGATAGTTGGACATGGTTCTTGGAGTTACTGATTGATGACCTTGAAGGAAAAAATGAATGTTTCACATACACATTCATTTCTGATCAACAAAAGGTATGTGCAAATTATTATATTGAATTCATTTACTAATTTTATTGGCTTGTGTGTACATCATAGTATTAATGTTGTTGGTTGTTTTAGAGGGGTTACTACCAGTCATGCATGAAACTTTACCTAATGTTGAGCAAAGGTTATGTGTCAAGAACTTGTACAAGATACACCTACTGCTCAAGGAAGTCAATCAACTGTTGAAGGTACACAAGGATCTCAAGTGTCAAGAACTATAGGAACACGAGGTTCTCAACATCCAAGAACTAGAGGCACAACTGCTACTCAAGTATCAACACTAAGAAGGCCAAGTGAGTTGGGTGTTAGGAGGCCATCAACACCTTTTGTTCCTCCTGGACCTACTACAAGACTAAGTGCAGCCAAGAATGTGATAGTCCCAACTACAAAGAAGACAACTCCAACTAAGAGGACCACAGCCAAAAAACTTGTATAATGGATATGGAATTCATTTTGAACAAGTTTATATGACTCAATGTACAATTATGTGTTATGTTGAATTTATGTTAAAGAAAAGTTTACATGTTATGACAAATATGTGTTATGCTGAACAATTGAACAATGTTAAAATTAAAGCATTTCAAATCAAAGAACCAGAACTGCTACAAGGTTCAGGGTTCAGCTAAGGCATTTCAAACCAGAACTGCTACAATGTTACAATTATACAACCCAAACCAGAACTACATAAAAAATAGAACTTCATAATTAACCTGACAAATGTTACAATGGTACTGATCTTACCAGATCAGAAATAGTATCAGCAACAAGAAACACGTCGTGAGCTCCTAACTCATCGGTGGTGGAGAAGAGGAGGGGGTGTACCTACAAGACACTTTGATGCCAAAGTGAGAAAAGAGAGTGAATGAGAGAGTGAGAAAGTACATAAAACGAGTGAGTTTTTGAATACTTGACACTCCTCTAAAGGAGGGTATTTATAATGTGCCCCAAGCACTGGGTCAACGGTCATCTGCTTTGGGATGGACCATAAGTCCTACAAGAGATGACTTCCAGAATCCTACGTGGAGGTAGGGAAGACCCACACGTGGTCTTCATCTTGGACTAACTACTCCACGAACTTCGGGGAGAGGAGGACCTCTTCTCTCAGATATGGATAGTTGGTTGATGACGTGTTCCTGCGTGGGGAGCACGTGGAAAATGTGTGATGAGCGTGTATGATGTGTTGCATCCAACAGGTATGCAAACTTGGGCCTTTATGTTGGGTCGTCCCCGACATGGAGCTGGGTTGGGCCAGGCCCATTCCAGAATAGGAGCCCATTAAGTCGTTGCTTCTAGTTAAGGGAGTAATGACTTAGAGTCAGTTTGCATGTCGAGGAAAGATAGAGGAAATCAACTTAAGGAGAGAATTTGTTGGGTTCATGGCAGTGAGATCACGAGGAAGCGTGGAAGTTGGTCCTCGTGCCCGACAGAGCTACCATGCGCGAGATTTCTCAGATTCGTTGCTCGCGTAGTCCGCGTGTGTTCGACAATAGGATTCAACTTGGTTACCCCGATGACACATGCTCACGAGGGCCCAATGTTGCACCCCAAATTTTGACCACTTAGATCCTCATCATCATTGTAGGATCATATTCATTTGATTAACTAACCTTAATCCAGTTCAAGTTTATCTTTGTCAAGATACAGGTGAATTAGGGTTCCGTACCATCAAAATCGAGACTTCAGCGGTCCGATCAATCGATGTTTTGGATTGATTCAACTTCAAACAAGATCAAGAATACAACATTAGGTCAAGTATGAATCCAATTTGAGGAGGTCACCCGGGGTTCGAGAACAGTGCAATTTGAGATACCCGATTAGGGTTTTTGATTGGAAAAACTCAACTGTAGTTTGACTTTTGATTCAAAGAGTAATTCAATGATGGGATCAAGGTCCATTAAGCTCCCATGGTTTAGTAAAGTCCGTCCAAAGAGTTTCAAGTCCTCAGGATGTCCGGATTACCAACGGGCGACTCGGTAGACACCGATCGATCGAAAAGTTGACCAAAAAGTCAACTCTCCAACAATAAGGAATTTGACTTCAAGGTGTGAATGAAAAATGTTCCTTATATCATATTACACCTCCCCATAAAATTTCATGACCATTGGATCAAGGGTTAGGAAGTAATTGCAAAAATCGGGAATTAGGGTTTCGAAAGGGGCAAAACCATAACTCCTCGACCACACATCCAATTGAGGTGGTTCTAAGCTTGTTTGAAAGGTCTTGACAAACCCTACAAAAGTCCCACAGTGGTCCATATTCAAAAAATGCATGGAATTGGAGTTATAGCAAACATCATTTTTTAAGGGTAAAGGACTTAGTGAAATTTCCCAAATTCTGGCCATACAAACCACTTTTTTTCAGAACTTTGAAAGGTTTTTCAACCTAGTTCCATCAAGAATTTGGAAATTCCCAAAACATGAAAGTTGTAGAGCTACACAAGGGCTTTCTAAAAAGTGCAAGAACTCCCCAAGGAGATTTATGAGCTAGGAGTTATGATGCCTTGAAGTTGGGTCTGTCACACTTGAGATCACCAATTCAACATTTTTCAAAATTCAGTATTAATCAATATGGGCTACACTCAGCTATTGGGCTTTGTTTCTTTCTGATATCATGAGGCTTGGATGATGTAAAAACCATAAAAAAATGAAAAATTGGAGAGTTTGTACAACTTGGGGCAAGTAAGCATTATAATAATCATTTTTACACCATGAAAGAGAAACTTTTTCCCATATCATGACAGCAGCAATCCCCTACTAGCAAGGACTCTCTCCTATCACCTCAGCCATCCTTCCAACTGCCATTTACTTGCATAGAGCATTGGAGCTGATGTGAAAATGGCTATCACAAAGATATTGGCAAGATTTTGCAAGATACTTCACAATTTCCCTCCAAAAGTGGCAAGTTACCAATCTGCCCCAACCTCTTCTTCTCCTATAAATAGAGGCTTCTCACCCTCACTAATTCACACCAGAGCTATTCACAATATCAAAGTATCATAGCTCTCCTTCTCACTCTCTCTTTGCTTGTAAGTGAAGAAGAGTTCAAAAACACCAAAATTGGTCACTTTGCACTTTTCACACCATTTTCATTTCTAACCTTTCCAACACTCCCACAATCATCCATGCACTTTCTAAATAACATATAGAAGGTGTGTAATCCATCAAACCATCAAAAACCTCAAAAAATCAAAAATTCAACTTTCTCCCCACCATACTTTGACCAAAATCACTAAAATGGCCAAAACTCATTCCATATAGATTCTTGCCATTCTAATCCCTCTAACACCTCACCAACATCATTCTTCAACTGTCCAAACCACTAGAAACACTTGGACACTTCTATTTTGACACTTAGCATCATAAGTGAATTGTTACTTAAAGTTGAAGAAAAGTCTCAAGGCCAAGGAGTGAAGCATAAATCTCTGGGTTTCTAGGAGTATTTTCTGCTTGCTCAAGTTTATTACCACAGGTATGTGGTGTCTAAACTCATCCCATCCATTATCATGACATAAAACTCATTCTTGCTCTTTGTTACTTATTATGTGCACACATACTGTCATGAGTTTTGCAAGTATACCTTTGAGAATGAACTTGTGATTTGGTTTTCCTTTGATTTAAATGTTGTTATATATGATTCACCTTTCTGTTACCAATGCTGTTTTTTTTTATTTCTGTTAAACAAATCTAGTATGATGGCTCATTTTGAGGTGTTTCCAAAAGTACAACATGTAATTTGTTTCTGTTTTGGGGCTGGGAATTGTGTTGGCTTAT